AGGTGCCTACTCTCTACAAGGGTGACGGCAGGTCAAGTTGGGAAGTTTTTGACATAATACAGGACATTTTAGATGGAATTACGATGGTAAACGAGATTTCAGTCGCACTTGTTCGGTCGGTTTTTAGGACTCGAAAATTGGAAAAAGGCATTTGGGGGCAGGGAGTGCATTACATGTTGCTGCACTCAGTAAGAGCAATAAAAAAAAAAGTGGTTTGTGGTGGCGGGAAAGCCACTACGTTTTGGCATGATGGAATATGCCCGGTGACGGGCTTACGATGTGGGGAAGTACCAGATAAGAAGGCAGAGGCAGTAAAGAATAGTCGGGGAGCCAGACAGTTTTATGCTAAGGTTTTGCAGGGGGATAAGTCTATTACAGCACAGGTATTAGAGAATAGGCTAGAAACAGTTGAATTTACTGATATAAAGAAGATAAAAGTGTGCTTGGTTTTTTTACATTCGATCTTATTGGCTGGTGACTCAACAAAAGTGTGAGAAAGATGGTGTGTGTTTGCAAGCAACTTGAAGTTTTAATTCTTATCATGGGGACTGAAATTATATGAGCGAACCATCAACAGCCTGAAAAAAGTAGACATGGCGTTAAAGCAGTCCCAATGGGAGGGGAAGGATAAACCAAGCACGTACAATTTGTTTGGCTTCCCATGGACAATGCAGGTAAATATTAATGCTTTTGTAACATATGTGTTTGAATTATGATATGGACTATTTTTTTTTATATAATGTAGGCTTGGATGTACGAGGCCATCCCTATCTTCGCTAAGGGGGGGGGGGGGGGGGGGGGGGGGGGGGGGGGGGGGAGAGAAGCAACAGTTTGGATGTGCAACAGCAATTTCCTAGGATGTTGCGGTGGCATGTCCAGAGGTACACCCATTCAGATTACGATCAAATAGACGTTGACATTCAAGCGGCTGGGGTAAGATTAAAGGACTAAGCTTTTGAATATGCAGTTGCTTTAAAATGTCGCTTGAATCTGATTGATTTGTTTCTTATTGCAGGGAGTCGTCCGTCCCTTTCCACCGCTACTGGGGCTGAAGGGGAAGAGGACTATGTCAAATCTTTCAAAGCATGGAGGATGCAAGCGATAAACAGATAGACGCCTGATGCGGGACCTAAAAGGGGTCACGCATGTGATGACAGTTGCGGGGCCACTGCTTCACAACGTGGTTGATGCCGAGGAGGATGAAGCTCCAATCGGTCGGAGGTCGAGGAGGAGGGGAGAAAAGGGAGGAAGAGGTTCGTATGCCTCAGCAAATCGGTACACAAGTACACGCTTTGCCGAGACATCGGCGTCAGGAGAATGAGATTGTTGACCTCATAAACGGCTTGTTGAGAGTTTTACAACAACCGTTTATGCAAGGTTGACAAGATGGAAGAGGGCATGAAAAAGGGTGGAGGAGAAAGTGGATAAGCTGGGAGAGAAAGTTGGTACAGTGGAGGAGAAAGTTGGTACAATGGAGGAGGAAGTTGGTGGGGAATTAGGCAGTTGAAGTGCAAACTGGCTTGAAAAGAGAGAGCCGAAAGAGCAAGTTTGTGAAATCACCTACTGGTAGTGACACAGGTAAAGAAGAAGAAAATTAAGAAATAAATGGAGGAAGAAACAATAGAGGGGTTGAGGAGGTTGGTGGAGGAAGTGGGCGGGTGATAATAAAGGAGGGCGAGGTGGGAGGCGAAGGAAGCGGGGATGTAAAAATGTAGGAAGTGGGCAAGGGAAATTGCACTCAAATGTCGATTTGTATAGGCCAATAGAGGAAAAGAAAAAACTCTTCTATGCCTATTACAATGGATCAGGAAGTAATGGCCATATAAAGTGTAAGACAGGGGATTATCCCCGGGAAGGTTAGGAAGTTGTTGACGATGGGCACATGGCTTGAGGACTCGGTGAGTTATTTTTGCTATTTCCTTAGTTGGGCCGATGTTTTCCATACTTATCTTGTTGTTTTTATTTGATGCAGCACATCGATGAGATATTGGCACTGATGAGGCTACGACAGACTACTGATGGTGATCTGTTGTATCCCGACTGTGCCATCACTGATGTGACGTTTGGGCAAAGGCTTGTTTCGGCATATTGCACTTTAATTAAAAATGTCGTTGCTAGTGATGCAGTAAAAGGATCGAAACGAAAAAGATTGGCCCCAGTACAGTTGGACTGTATCCTTGATGATTTTCATTTTGATGACAGAATTATGCAGTATATACAGAGGGATCAGCCCAAATATGGCCACAGTTGGGCCTTTGTTAAAAGAGTGTACTGCATCATCCTCATCAAAGAGATACACTGGATAGTAGTCGTTGCGCATCTAGAGGAGGGGTTGCTGAAGATCCTTGACTGCAACCCCACTATTTGTTGAGACAAGCAGTTGGAGGTCGAGTTGGAGCCACTGTCCAGGTTGTTCTTGCGGCTGTTGCGTGACAGCGGGATGTTTGGGCACTTGGGTGATCAAGCACTAACCGGAAAGTGGCCAATTAAGCGCTCTACTGGCCCAATAAATGACTCAAGGTAACTTTTGTATAAAACTAACTTATATAATACAATTGTTCTATAAGTTTATTCTTATGCTAATGTCTTCTTCCTATTGTAGTGCTGAATGTGGGGTATATGCCTTGAAATTTATTGAGTTCGACATGACCAACACCCCGATGGATGGGTTGAATGACGAAACAATGAGAGACGGTCGGGAGGGCTGGGCTATCGACTGCTTCCATAGGCAGATGGATCCATTTTGAGTGAGCAGAACCCAATAAAAAGGTATGAAAGTTGGACTTTGAATTTTTTAGTTTATGTGATTTTGATGTTGATACTTTGGTTGTGGTACTGATGTTGCAGGTGTCATGCTTATATGGAGCTTTACCGAAAGACATGGACTGAGCGAACTTCTCACCTACCCACACTATAACTTATTTACGTGTTTTTTTTTTTATTTACAAAAGTTGACGTGTCTGCAGGTTCCTGGCAAACAATGAGAGGAAACTTCTCAAACAAAGGCTGGTTGGCAAGAGGAGAGGAGGCATTTGCAATAAAGGCTGCTGGGAAGGCATGGTACTAAACACTAGAGCCAACGATTTAGCTCTTGTAAACTCATTTCAAATTAATGAATAAAAAGCATCGCTTATTTATGAGCATATACTGTAACATCTATTTACTGCGCGTAAAGAAAATAGTATATGTCCTTAGAAAGGTTGGAACTAGTGACGAGGGAATTAAGTGTTATAAATCTTAATTGTAAGAACCCTATGAGCACAAATGGTGGCCCTTCTTAAACCGTCCGTAGTCATAGTATAAATCTAACCAAGGACACAAATTATATGGAGAGACTATCATCGCGTTGAATGACCCTATCAAAAGGTAGTGATAGATTTCACATGTCAAGGTTGTGGGCATCAACCTGGTATAACGTATGTGTGCTTTCTTGTGCAAGTACACTAGACTGACCCATCAGAGGATTCCACACAAGATGGTAAACCTAGCGTCTATGGAATATATCCTCTTATAGATGGTAATGCATGTGGTCCTTCGACTTAAGATCACTAGAGTGTTGTGTGTAAATATCGATGTTATTTGACATTAGCCTAACGTTGTCTCTTTTAGAGATTACCAGAACGGTGGTGATTGATTACATCGAGAAGTACATTATGGCTATGGTGGATCAACAAAGGATTCATTATTTCTAGTTAAATGAGATCTTATCTCGGCGAGATATTTGGTTAAACAACTACGACCTCAAATCGTGGCTACAGTGAAATCGAGTTGGTGCTCGAATCCAATAGTTGTCAGATTCAAGAACCAAATATAGAACATGTCAAGGTAGCTTTTGAGGTAGATACTATTTATGTACCTCAAACTTTGATGAGATAAAAGATGATGAAACAGATCAAATTGCATGGTAACCATACCGAAGACAAGATAAGCCTACATCACTAATTCTTTACTTACCAGGGAATCATGATGTCTTGCTAGAGGCCAATCTTGATTGGTGTACGAAAACATTAATTGTTTGATGCTTAATTAGTTATCGGGACATTGTTGACAAAGTGAAGAGCGTTTGGGTCACACACATAGAAGGTAGTTAAGTGAGAAACGAAAATGGAAGGACAATCTTGTCCTTGGATTGAAAAGGGTATTTCGATAATTTGGGAGTCCAGGGGCATTTTCATCATTATGGGCGAAAATGGCACTTTGGTAATTTTGCTAAGGGGTTGATGCCATTATCCAATTTATTGGGAGATTTTTTAGCAAAATTGGAATTAATTAATATGGAGAATATATATTTAATTTAATTTAATATATATTAAATACGATAAATATATATGGATTAAATAAATAGTAATATTTATTTAATTAGAATATGTATTTACATAGGAATTAAATAAATAGGAATATTTATTTAATTAGCATTCATATTTTAGGAGAATGTCTTTAAGAGATATTCTAATCCCTTATATCAAGGATTGCAATTCAATTCAAATAGGAATTAAAAGGATTGTAATCCAATCCAAATAGGAATTAAGGATTTACAATCCTTATTGGATTCTTATCTGGGATTGCCTATATAAAAGGTCATTGGGTTTGATTTAAGAGAGCAATAATCATAAAGTTAATTTGGCAAATTGAATAGCAAAAATTAACTCTCCTAAAACCCTAGCCGTTGCCAATCCTAGAGAGAGAAATTCTCTCTCTAAATTATGTCACCTCCCTTAAGCCTTCCGATTGATCTAGCAATCGATCCTAGGGTGATCCCAAGCCTACCTTCGTGTGGATACCAATGAACTCAATCCTACATTGGATTGATAACGACTAGTTTGAAAGATCCAAAGGAGGAGCCGCCAACGGAGGTAAATCACATAACCTTGTGTGGGTTAAATTTTATATGTTTATTATTCAATCTAAATTGTGATCTTGAGTAAGGGGATCATGCCATGGCAAGAATTTTTTTTATTGTTATTCCATGCTTGCCACGACATGGTTCCTACACGAGCCACACTTTTTATGAAAGAAATTTATGGGATTTGGCAATACAATGGGGAAAACTTATATGAATATTGGGAAAGGTTCAAGAAATTGTGTGCTAGCTGTCCGCAACATCAAATAATTGAGCAATTACTTCTCCAATATTTTTATGAGGGATTGATGCCGATGGAGAGGAGTATGCATAGATGCAGCAAGTGGAGCGTTAGTTGATAAAACTCCTGCTAAAGCAAGGAATTTAATTGCAACCATGGCAGCAAACTCTCAAATATTTGGTACTCGATCTGATCCACCACCAAGAAAGGTAAATGAAGTGGGGATATCCAATAATCTTGAGCAACAATTGAGTAATTTGACTGCACTTATGCAACAAATTGCAATTGGACAAGTGAAGACATGTGGAATTTGTTCCAATGTGGGACATCCTACCGATATATGTCCTACCCTTCAAGAGCCAAATTCGGAACAAGCAAATGTCGTGGGAGGATACCAAGGACAACAAGGGCAAATGTATGATTCATTTTCTAATACCTATAACTTGGGATGGAAGGATCATCCTAATCTTAGCTATGAAGAAAATCAACAAGATGCTATCCCTAATAATCCACCTGGTTTGCCTTATCCACAAGCTCAAAAACCGTACTAAGCAAGACTCCAAAATGTTTCCCAACCTCAAGGTAAGCCTTTGGAGGACTTGGTAAACTCATTAGCAACAATCTCTCTTCAATTCCAGCAAGAGAATCTCAAGTTCCAACAAGAAACGAAAGCGGCAATTCAAGATACAAAAATGTCAATCAAGAATTTGGAAAGCCAAGTTAGTCAATTGGCTACACCGTTGGAAGATTAGAGGAGCAAGGATCCAGAAAGCTTCCTTCCCAACCTTTAGTTAACCCCTGGGGAGAATGCTAGTGCCATTACTTTGAGAAGTGGAAGACAACTTGAGGAGGCTCACAAGAAGCCAAGTGATGAGAAAGAAGTTGGAGATGAGTTACTTCAAGGTGGTACAAAGCAATCCAAAAGCATAGAAAATTTGCCAACCAATTCTATAAATGCAAAACATCCACCTAAAGTACATTTTAAAGTTCCTATTAATACTTACGAACCTCCTTTGCCTTTTCCTAGTAGGTTTGCCACCTCAAAGAAGAAGGAACATGAGCAAGAAATCTTGGAAACTTTTAGAAAAGTACACGTAAACATTACTTTGTTGGATGCGATAAAGCAAGTGTCGCGTTATGCGAAATTTCTTAAAAAGTTGTACACTAACAAGAGGAAACTTAAGGGAAACAAGGTGGTGAGTGTGGGAGAAAATGTCTCAGTGGTTTTGCAAAGGAAACTTCCACAAAAGTGCAAAGATCTAGGTAGTTTCACCATACCATGCATCATAGGCAACACAAGTTTGAAAAGGTAATGTTAGACTTAGGTGCTTCTATTAATGTCATGCCTTATTCGATTTATCTTGATTTAAATCTTGGTGCTCTTAAAGAGATCGACATAGTTATTCAACTCGCCGATCTATCTAATGCCTATCCAAAGGGAGATTTGAAAGATGTTTTGGTACAGGTAAATGAGCTTATTTTTCTGGTGGATTTCTATGTGCTTGACATGAAAGATGAAACAACCACGAAAACCATGCCATTGTTTTTGGGGAGACCATTCATGAAGACAGCTTGTACAAAAATTAACGTGCATAGTGGGACGTTGACAATGGAGTTTGATGTGGAAGTTATTCAATTTAACATCTTTGAAGCAATGAGGTTTCCTAGTGATTATAATGCTTGTTGATATTCTTGACTCTTTAGAGCAACAAATGTTCGAGCTTAAGGGTAAAGATAAATTGGAAGTGGCGATAAGCAATGGGTTGTCAACCGAGGAACTTCGAGGTTTTGACAAAGATGTAGAATTGAGAGAAGAGCTAAACGAAATCATAGCAATGTTGGATGAACTTCCAAAGAAAAATCCAAGGTATGAAATCTCCTACATTTCTCTTCCCATATCTAATGAGAAACTTTTACCTTCCATTGTTCAGGCCCCTACCTTAGAACTCAAGCCTTTACTAAGTCATCTCAAGTATTCATACTTGGGAGAAGGAGACACATTGCTCATGATTGAAGCGCCCAACCTTTCAAGGGTGCAAGAAGAAAAGCTTCTTCGTGTGTTGAGAGAGTACAAAATGTTGATTGGTTGGACGATTATTGACATTAAAGGAATAAGTCCTTCCATGTGCATGTACTGCATATTATTAGAGGAAGGATCTAAGCCTACAAGAGAAGTGCAAAGATGATTGAACCCACTGATGATGGAAGTAGTGAAGAAGGAAATAATCAAGTTATTAGATGTTGGCGTGATCTATCCAATTTCAGATAGCAAATGGGTTAGTCCAATCCAAGTAGTTCCAAAGAAATCTGGCATCACCATAGTGAAGAATAAGGATAATGACTTGGTTCCCACTCAAATTCAAATGGGATGGTGAGTGTGCATCACAAGCTTAACGCCACAATGCGCAAGGATCACTTTTCTCTTCCATTTATTGATCAAATGCTTGAACGTTTAGTGGGTCATTCTCACTATTGTTTTCTTGATGGATTTGCAGGTTATAATCAATTGTGATTGCCCCTACAAATCAAGAGAATATAGCATTCACATGTCCCTTTGGCACTTTTGCCTATTGATGCATGCCATTAGTCCTTTGCAATGTTCTCACTGTTAGAGTAGACCTAGAGCCAATCAATTATTGTAGAATTGACTCCTTGTAATAATGTTCATTAATCAATAAAAGGCATTTTATTCTATATCGCGTAAATCATTATTATTGCAATATATATTGATATATGTCCTTAGAATGGTAGAACCGTGACAAGGGTATCAAGTGTTTCAAATCTTGATAGTGAGAACCCTATGAGCACATAAGGTGGCCATTCTAGAAACGTCTATAGCCCTAGTATTATTCTGAAGTAAGGGCACAGATAATACGGTAAGGCTATCATGGTGTTGAACGACCCTGTCGAAAGGCAGTGACTGATCTCACTTGTCAAGGTTGTTTGGTGACAACTTGGTGCAACACATGAGTGCTTGCTATAGGTGATTTTACCATAGCAAGTTCACTGGACTGACCCACCAGAGGATTCCATATGGATGATAACCCCAGTGTCTATGGAACAAATCCTCTAACGAATGGTGGTGCATGTGATCCTTAGACTTGAGATCACCGGAGCGCCTTGTGCACCGATTGGTGCAGTTTGACACTAGCCTAACGCAGTTCTATTCAGAGCTGTCAATACGTTGGTGATTGGCTGCATCGAGGAGTGTATCAAGACTATGGTGGATAGACAGAGGATTCATCACTCCCGGGTATAGGAGAAGTTATCTCATGGCGCAATTCAGTATATGGCAATAACACTAAAACTGTGGCCACAGTGGGATTGAGTTGTTGCTCTATCCAGATTATAATACAGGTCATTGGTCCAGAAACTGAATACATAATATCGAGAGTAACCGAAGGTTGACACTATTTCTATGCCTTCGTCTCGTCGAGATAACGTATGATGAAAGGATCGAATTGTACGGTAACCATATCGTTGACAGGTAGATACTTTACTGAATCCGAATCTATCAGGTGGCCATGATGCCTTGCTAGGGGCCAATCTTGGTCTGTGTACAGTGAGACTATTAATTGGTGTTAATCGTGATACTATACACTGTCGGTAAGATGAGGAGCCAATGGGTCACACACATAGAAGATAATTTAAGATCCAAGAAGAAGGAAGGGCGTTTTCATCTTTTTTAAGGCGAAAGGGTATTTTGGTAATTTCACACTACAATTAAATTTGCTGAAGGTTGTAGCCTTTATTTAATTAGAAAGATTAAATAAGTGAAATTACGTTTAAATATGTGTTCACATATATTTAATTAAATCATCATTATTGTTAAATGTTAATATATAGATTAAATATATTTTAATTTATTTTAATTGAGATAATCATGAAATAAAAAATTAAATATCTAATTGGGAGTATTTGGTAACATGGGGTGTTTGGGTTGGAGCCCAAGCCTATTCCATATTGGAATAAGGTAACTAATTTTTTACCATAAAAGAAAAATGTTTCTTTGTAAAAAATAGATGACTTTTCATTTTTCACTCTCTTGAAAACACGAACACAGCAGCCCCATTTCTCTCCCCAGCAGAAACCCATTTTGCCTAAAATCAATTCATTTTGATTTTATTCTTCTTTAATCTTGAAGCCAAAGAGGATCTAGCAAATCTCTCTTTGGTTCTTTGTGATTATCTTCGTGTGGACTACATCGGTTCGATCCTACGCTTGGGTCGGTAGCAAAAACGTTCAAAGACAAACGTGGTGGAGCCTCCAAACATGCGTATGATTCTCTTAACTCATGATTAACCTTTTTGTGCAGATTTTACTTTAATATAAATTGTAAAATTATACCCTTGATCTTGGCTCATGTAAACGATCCTTGTATTATATTTTTTTTGTTTCCGCTGCGTATATGGATCATTTACTAACACTCACCACCTTTCAAAGGTGCATGGTAACACTACAAGAAAAAACCTCATCCATGACAGAATGAGTTGACAGATTTTCTTCACTGTTCTCAAAAACTATCAAGAATTGTAATTCTTGACAGTTTATGAACTATCAAGAATTTGAAATAATCTTTGACCGTTTTGTATGATATTAACTGTCAAGGATTTGCTCAAAAAAAATTGTACAAATTTTTTTTCTTAACAGTTGTAGTGTCAATCCTTGACAATTTTTAACTATCAAGGATTAAGTTGAAAAAAACAAAAATTAAAATTTTCACTAAGGCAAAAGTTTCCCTCCCATCAAAAGTTTCACTAAGGCAAAATTTCCCACCCATTTTTCATTAAGGTAAAGTTTTAGGGTTATAAAATATTGAAATATACAATAAACTAAAAAAAACCAATATCTTCTATGTAACGCCCCACTTGAGGTACGTAGTAGATTATGTTGTATGTTGTATGAATACTTACTGTTTTGCTCTTATTTGAGTTGTTATATTGTTCATATGGTTTGGTTGGTCATTGGTTGAATGGATGTATTGGTTTGGTTGAGTGGTTGCCCTGAAATTTATGAAGACTTGGCGA